CTCGCCGAGAGCCACTCTCCCCACAGGAGCTGCGTGAGTGGTTTGCCCGGCGCTGGAGGCGTGCTGCTGGTGCTGGAGGTTCTTCGGCTGCAGAAGGTGCTGCTGCCGAGCGTCCCGAAGGTGCTCGTGCTGTGGGTGCTGGAGCTGCTGGGTCTGAGGGTTCTCCTGGAGTTGGTGCTGCTGAGGGTGTTGGCGCTGAGACTACCGCTGGCGGTCTGACTGGCAGTGCTCGTGGTGGTGCTACTGGAGGTTCTGGAGCCGCTGGAGGAGCTGCTGGAGGTGCTGCTGGAGCGGGTACTCCTCCTGGGGGTACTGGTGCTGTCCTTGCTGTTTCTGGCGTCGCCACGCGGCCCCGACCGTACTTCGTTCCGCTCCTGCAGCAGGTTCTTGGTCGTACACCTTCTCGTGGTCCTCCTCCTCCTCCCTTAGAGGGTCCACAGCCTGTCTCGTCACGGTCACAGCTACAGCCTGCCTCCCCTTTGCCTGCTCCTTCTCCCTACGCTGGTCCGACTGGAGGTCTTATTGAGCGTCGTGAGCCTGCGTCTCGTCCTGCGTCGCCCGTACGTGCTGCGCGCACGAGTGGTCGCGGTTCGCGTCAGCGTCCTCCTCCTGTCCCTGGCACGCACCGGATGTCTCTGCGTCCGTCCACTGCTCCTCTGCGTGCCCCTTTGCCTTCTCCTCCTGCTTCCTCTCTTCCTGCTCTTGCCGACCCGGAGTCGGACTCTCTTCGTGCTGCCAGTCCTACTATCACGCGTCTCCTTGCTACTGCTGTCACTGACCCTTCTTTCGAGTCGTCTGCTGCGTCTGCCCTTGTCACTGAGCTCGTCGACTTTGCTGCGCGATGTCGTCTAGACTACGCTGCTAGTCTTGTCGCTGAGTCTGAGTCGGCCTGTCCTCCGTCCGTCGGGGGTGAGTGTGCCCTTGGCACGGACGTCCTTGAGGACAGGCAGGAGGAGTTCCAGTGTCTGGCCGCCGCTTCACCTCATCTCGCGTCTGTACTGCTTGCCCCTGAGGGAGACCCGGATGCACTAGACATCCCGACTCCGCGCTCTTACGCGGAGGCGATAGAGGGTCCCTACTCCTCTCAGTGGCAGGCAGCTATGGATGCAGAGATGGCTTCCTGGAAGTCCACAGGCACCTACGTTGACGCTGTCCCCCCTCCTGGGGCGAACATAGTCAGTGGCATGTGGATCTTCAGGGAGAAGCGGCCGCCGGGTTCTCCGCCTGTCTTCAAGGCGCGTTACGTGGCTCGTGGCTTCAGTCAGCGGCAGGGAGTTGACTACTTTCAGACCTTCTCCCCCACCCCGAAGATGACCACTCTTTGGGTACTGCTGCACGTTGCTGCTCACCGTGACTACGAGCTGCACTCTCTCGACTTCAGCACTGCTTTCTTGCAGGGCAGCCTGCACGAGGAGATCTGGCTGCGTCGCCCACCTGGCTTCACTGGGTCTTTCCCTCCTAATACCCAGTGGAGTCTCCGGCGTCCAGTCTACGGTCTCCGCCAGGCGCCACGTGAGTGGCACGACACACTGAGGACTACGCTGGCGGCACTCGGGTTTGCTCCTTCTACTGCCGACCCGTCGCTGTTTCTGCGCACCGACACCTCTCTGCCGCCGTTCTACATCCTCGTGTACGTCGACGACTTGGTCTTTGCCACAGCTGACACTGCTGGACTCGCCTACGTGAAGTCCGAGCTGCAGAAGAGACACACGTGCACTGACCTGGGTGAACTGCGCAGCTACCTTGGCTTGCAGATCACCCGGGACAGAGCACGCCGCACCATTACCCTGACTCAGTCACACATGGTGCAGCAGGTCCTTCAGCGCTTCGGCTTCACGTACTCCTCGCCTCAGGCCACTCCTCTGCCTACTCGCCTCTCGCTCTCAGCTCTGCCTTCGGATGAGTCCGTAGAGTCGAGTGGCCCGTATGCAGATCTTGTTGGCTGCCTCATGTACCTGATGACCTGCACACGACCTGACCTTGCATACCCTCTTAGCATTCTTGCACGCTATGTTGCTCCTGGGAGACACCGACCAGAGCACATGGCTGCAGCAAAGAGGGTGTTGCGCTACTTGTGCAGTACGTCGGGCATGGGGCTAGTGCTTGGAGGGCGCAGTCCAGTGGTCCTCACTGGGCACGCGGACGCTTCTTGGGCTGACGACCAGGCTACGCAGCGGTCGTCACAGGGTTACACCTTCAGCCTTGGTTCCGGCTCTGTTTCGTGGCGGGCTACCCGCTCGTCTTCTGTTCTCGGCTCCAGTTGTGAGGCTGAGATCTACGCCGGGGCTATGGCTGCACAGGAGTTACGCTGGCTCACCTACCTGCTGACCGACCTTGGAGAGCCGCCTCGTTCTCCTCCAGTCCTGTACGTAGACAACAAGGCCATGCTGGCCTTGTGTCGAGAGCAGCGACTGGAGCACAGGACAAAGCACATTGCTCTCCGCTACTTTCTTGCTCGTCAGCTACAGCAGCGTGGACAGTTGCGACTTGCGTACGTGGCCTCTGAGGCCAACACAGCTGATGTCTTCACCAAGGCACTTGCGCCTTGTGATCATCAGCGTTGTTGCACGCAGCTGGGTCTTGTGCCTGTCTTGCCTCACTTGCTCACTTCTTGACCTTGCTTGTACCTTCACCTATATATATTCCTGCTCTTGCTTGCTTGACTCTTGTATATCTCTATATATGATCTTGCATGTGAACTGGCCTTCTGGCCTTTGAACTTGTGCTCGGAATGTGTGGTGACTTTGTGATCCACCCTGAGCTTTGCTTTGCTTTGCTTGACTGGTCTTGTGACCCCTTGTTCTCCCCAACTTTGCCTATGGGGGTGTGTCAGACTTATATGATCTAGCCTGTGTAGGCTGTAGCGGGTTAGATACTAAGGGGTACACAATTCTAGGGTTTCATATTTGTATCACTCTCATTCCTTAGTCAATCTTTCCTCATTTGTTTCACACGAACCCCCGCGAACCGCAACACCACTGAAATCCAAACCACTATGCTATCTGCAAAAAATAATCGGTTGCGTTCAATATTTTCATACGTTTTTACAGACGGACCTCAAATTTCTGTATGAAAATCAGACGGGGCAGAATCGTCCGTATGACACTAAGACGAAATGAAAAAATTCAATAAAAAAACATCAGAAACGCCAAAACCTTAGCAAGAGGCAATGGAGCACAGCATCTGACAGCCACAGGGAGTTGTTGGGAGGCTGGTTGAAGAGGTGTGGTTGGGAGAGCTTGTCGAAATGCTAGGCAAGAGTCAGAAACAGGAAAGAGGGGTTTTCACTAGCAGGCAGTTGAGTACATATAGCAAACCCTAATTCGGGCTGTACTCGCTATAGAGTACCCCACTACATGCTAGACAAACATCACATTCTGACACACCTCCATAGTCAAAGTGGGGTATAATCAGCACAGCAAACATTCATAGAGCAATAGTTCACAATGATAAGCAAAGCTAAAGGCAGTCACAGAGGACAAGTAAGGAGGAGGAGAGACTATGAGAGGAGAGAAGATAGAAGGCGACGGGTGAAGCCGCAGACACACGGGCAACATGAACGGCGCGCATGGTGGCTACCGGAGCACTCAACCTCCGGACTACAGGAGTAACTGGCTCCGCGCTTAAGCTGCACGAGCAACAGACCCAAGGGCGACTGGCAACAGCATGCTCGCTGGGCTACCGGAGTACTCAACCCCTAGACTAATGTCGCTGCAGACGTCACAACGGCAACCTCCTGTCAACCTCCCCCAACTGTCCCACACCCCTTCCACACACCCCTTGTTGAACTTCTAGCACCGCTCACACGCCACCCCCCTCGTACCACTCCGACGGCTCCAACACATCCACCCCCCTCAGCGGCAGCTGCAGTAGTGGGAGACGGAGGAGGAGGAGGAGCAGGGGACGGCTCACACACCCGGCACCCCCATACTCTCCACCCCCAAACCCTAACACAGGAGCGCGGGCAGCAGCGGGGGTGGGGCGCGGTCAAAAGCTCGGGGGACGGCGTGCGTCGCTGGGGCAGACCGTACGGGCCGCGCACGGGCCTGGTGCAGGCGGGACGAACCGCGCGCGGGCTGCCCGGGCCACGCGCGGGCCTGGCGCAGCCCATACGGGCCGCGCGCGGGCCTGGCGCAGGTCGCGCGGGCCGCGTCGGGCGACGAGGGGTGACGCGCGGGTCCCCGGGGGCTCCGCGACGGGCCCGGGTAGCCCGCGCGCGGGGCTGGCGCAGACCGTACGGGCCGCGCGCGGGCCTGGCGCAGGTCGCGCGGGCGCCGGGGGCTCCGCGACTGGCGACGGGGGGCGACGCGCGGGTCGACGGGGCAGGAAACCACCGCGCGCCCCGAGTGCGCGGCGGGAAGAAAAAACGCCGCGCGCCCTGAGCGCGCGGCAGGCAGGAAACTTCGCACGCCCGGGGCGTGCGATAGGCAGGACAGCAGCGGAAGCATCGGATGGGACCACCCATAGGATCGACCCAGGAGGGTCGACCTGCTCTGATAGCATGTCGTAATGCTAGGCAATAGTCTGAAACAGGAAAGAGGGGTTTTCACTAGCAGGCAGTTGAGTACATAGAGCAAACCCTAATTCGGGTTGTACTCGCTATAGAGTACCCCACTGCAGGCTAGACAAACATCACATTCTGACAGAGCTCGGTGGCAACAGCTTCTTTTTTTCATCCAGCTTGCCTGGGTGTTTGTGGGAATGTGGGAGGCTGAAACTGGTGGAGGGTGGCAGGGCCTATGGATTGCTGCTGTGCTGATGTGCTCAGATGTGCTCCTAAGGGATTGCTTCTAAGGAAAAGTGCTATCTAGGTGATGGATTCAGGTGTTCTTAAAGGGCGAGCACGAGCTAGCATATTACAACCAGAGGCAAGGCAGATAAGCCCACTTAGTAGTACTGTTTATCTTGTACATAATCCGTAAATAATACATAGTACCGTAATTGCATGTGTCCGTGTTTTCAAGTGCAGTGCGGATGCATAATTTTGTAGAGCAACTACGCTAGCCATGGCGTGTTTTGAAGAGCAACGACGCAGGAATGCCCAGCAGTGATGCACTGCACATACGGTAGACTGCACGATATTGTACTGCAGCGAATTGCAGGCGGCATCCTGTGTGGTGCGCTCGGAAGGGGACGGAAAGTGAGAGGGACGGTGGCATCTGAGCAACAGGGGCTGCTGCCTGGTGGGTGGGGAGGGGAAGTGAGGGAGGGAGACGGGGGTGTGGGGAGGAGGGGAGATGGCAGAGAAGAGAGAGTGCGTTGGCAGGATGTGAAGGAGAGGATGAAACCGCCTCGCTCGCATCTCTCAACCCCTCTGCCAGCCACCACTCACTGCCTCCCGGAGTGGCCGTCACTTCCCCACAAAGCCCTCCGTGCCCTCCCCTTGTCTCCACCCCTCTCACCTGTTCCTCCCACTCCTCACCCCCATCCGCCTCTGCAACCCTGCTTCCCCTGCCAGCAGCGACAGCCTCTCCCCCAGCCTCGTACCAACCCTGTCTCTCCTTCCACACCCACTCACCCCACGCACCACCCACCATCCCACGCACTACCCACCAGTCCCACGCACCACCCACCATCCCCACGCACCACCCACCATCCCCACGCACCTCTCAAGACCCCCCTGGACCTCTCACCTCCCCAGCAAGCAACAGTGCGAGCAGATGCGAGCGAGCAGCACGGAGGGAAGGCGATCCATGGGATGGGAGATGGCTTCTGCCGCCCTCTGCTGCACCCACGCACATGGGCGATGGGGTGGCAGATGGGCGGGAGGGAGAGGAGGAACAAGCAGATGAAATGGGTGGTGGGTACGGGGCATGGGCGGCAGAAAGGCAAGAGGACGAGGGCGGGAGATAGAGAAGACGTGGGTGAGAGAGGAAGTACTGTTGATGAGAAGAAAGAGTGGGAGAGAGAGCGAGGAGGGGCGACAGGGAAAATGGGTTGGAGAGAGAGGGGGGTCGTTGAAAAGCAAGTCGGCAGAGAGGAGGTGGGTGAGAGAGGGGCAACCGCTGTGAGAGGGAGTAAGGAGGAAAATGGATAGAGGCGGGAAGGACGGGGGAATGGTCGAGCATTATTGGGAAACTGGGTACGGGCATGGTGTGCATACGTACACGTGTGCAGTGCGAAATGAGCATGGGACTGTGCATGTGCGCATGCATGTCTGCGCCACCCGAGAATCACCTGCACGTGCGCTGCTGGCATGTGACGCAGCGAGACGCACGGCGCCCACTCATGTGGCGGTGGCGGTGCAGCCCCAGTGGAGGCGCGCAGAGAGTCCATGTGAAGGGCACGGAGGGCCGCCATGGGCGAGGACGCAACGTGGCACGATGCCCGGCAGCTCATGCCCGGGAGCTCATGCCCGGCAGCTCATGCCTGCCATGCTGGCGCGGAGGGCGATGGGGGGAATTGGGAGAGGGCGGGGCGGGGACAGACGGGAGTGAAGGGAGACGAGGGGAGAGGGGGGAGATGAGGGGAGAGGGGGACCCGAGGGTTGAGTATGCAACGGCAATGCCCGAGTGAGCGGGTAATGCACGAGGTGGCAGAGGTGGGTGCGGGCAGACTGTGGGAATGGATCCGAGGGAAGGGAAGGAAAGGGGGAGACGAGGAGATGTGGACAATAGATGGCGGATGCGAGTGAAACGACAACGGCGGGAGCGGCGATGAGGGCGCATCCCTGGCAGAGGCTTTGCGCGCGATATGGGTACGTGCGCCATACAAGGTATTTCCTCACCTCATCACATCTGTATGCCCTACTGCTGGTGAATTCAAGCGGCCTGCCTGATTGTGGGAGCGTTTGACAAAAACACTGTCGAGAGGGACGCGAGAGGTGGGCAGTGCGAGCCGCCATGGCAGGTGGGCGGCAGGTGCGCAGTGCGACAGATCGGCACGCGTGAGAAGTAGACATCTGCAAAAGAGACGGCGGGGCGACGGGCTTGACGACGAGTAGAGCAGTTGACGCGTAAGACACGCCGGTCGGTGTCTCGACGCCTGTCATACGTCTCGCGCAATCCACGTGTCAGCCGGTGAGTGACACACAGCAGGCTGCAGAGAGCGTGCAGAGCGCGCCGAACCGAGCAACGGCGAGGTACAGCCAGCAGTCCGCCATTCCGCGCGTCGCTCCAACCCTCACCGCATCTGCCGCCAACGGCCTCCCTGCCATGCGCTCGCCCCCGCGACTTACGCTCCCCATCGCTGCTACCGAGTCGGCGCGCAGCTGTACAATCGTTTTTTATTTTAGCCTATGGCAAACTCGAGTTGTTTTAAACTAAAACAGCGCATCCGCCGCCGTAGCAGCAGCGATTTCCGTCCTATATTCTGCCATGATCTTGGGGTGTGGGAACGTGGTGATCCTACTTGCTCCGCTGAAGGCTGAATTCGAATCTGCGAGCGCAGGAGAGGAAGTGCAGCAGGGTGATGAGTGTTGGGTATGTTGAAAACGATTTGAATCGTTTTACTGAGATATAACACGGTAATAGTGTAGATAAGATTCGAGCACCTTTCTTTTGTGGTCACCTCGCTGGACCTCATTCGACCTTGGCCACAACGATTGGAGATACTTGTGTTGTCGAATCAGTTTGCACACCGTGGTGTTTGACTGATTGACGATCAAGCGAAACATCGCACACATTTTTGCGAAACAGCATCACCACTGCACCAATAGCACAACCCATCGCCCAATTCCTGAGAATTTTTGTTGATACTGATTGGTTGATCTTGGATTATGGGAATCTGGAACGACCAGTTTGGGAGATTGGAGCATCGCAGATGACTGGAAACCAAGCGGTGCGTGGGTGATGCGTCAGCGTCCAATCGCAACAACGCCCCCCCTCCCTCCCTCCCGAGCCGAGCTCATCACCCTCAAGTTCAAAACTGGCATCAGTCAGTCATAGCAAACCATCAGCACTCGATTTCATTTCATCCAGGAATATCACATCGCAGCTTCTTCGAGAGATTCAAACATCCACAATGGCTGCTCTTGCCAACGCTGCTGTGCTCCCGTCCACCTTCGTCGGCCAGAGCGCTGAGCTCGCCGCAAAGGTGAACAATGTCGAGGCCCGCGTGACGATGAGGAAGACCGCCAAGGCGGCTTCCAGCAGCGCCTTCTACGGCCCCGACCGCAACCTGTTCCTGGGTCCCTTCAGCTCCCCGCCGTCGTACCTCACCGGCGAGTACCCCGGCGACTACGGCTGGGACACCGCCGGTCTGTCCGCTGACCCCGAGACCTTCGCCAAGAACCGCGAGCTGGAGGTAAGCCTAACATCACATATATGATGCATTTGTCACGGATGCACATTTATTGCTGAATGAACAATGCAAATATTACGTTTCAATGTTTATATGAGCAATCTCGAAACAGATTTACCTTGGCTTCGTTACGACGCTAACCGTTTCACGGTTCTGACCGAATTCAATGTTGTTTCGCCGGTTAAAAATCTTCAGGTCATCCACGCTCGCTGGGCTCTGCTCGGCGCGCTCGGCTGCCTGACCCCCGAGCTGCTGGCCGGCAACGGCGTGAACTTCGGCGAGGCCGTGTGGTTCAAGGCCGGCGCGCAGATCTTCTCCGAGGGTGGCCTGGACTACCTGGGCAACCCCAGCCTGATCCACGCACAGTCCATCCTGGCCATCTGGGCCACCCAGGTCATCCTCATGGGTGCCGTCGAGAGCTACCGCGTGGGTGGCCTCGAGGGCTTCCAAGAGGTTGAGGACCCCCTGTACCCCGGCGGTGCCTTCGACCCCCTTGGTCTGGCCGACGACCCCGATGCTCTTGCTGAGCTGAAGGTGAAGGAGCTGAAGAACGGCCGCCTCGCCATGGTGTCGATGTTCGGCTTCTTCGTGCAGGCCATCGTCACCGGCAAGGGCCCCCTGGAGAACCTGAGCGACCACCTGGCTGACCCCACCGTCAACAACGCGTGGGCCTATGCCACCAACTTCACCCCCGGTGCTTAGATAATTTACCCTTCCTGTACATTATTACTAAACATTAGTTCAAGCCAATTTCAGCTGAAACCTCAACGCATATTTCCTGAACTATATCTAAGCTTCACATTCAACATACAACATTTAATAGCTGCCAGTAAACGAAGGGAGAACCATTAGGTTGAGAACACTAACGTGAACCAGTGGAGGAAAGAGCTAAGGAAGAAAAGGAAGAGGGAGAGTACGAGGTATACATGTAAGTTTATGCTAGGCTGTAGTGAGGCATGCTGTAGGGTGTACAGGTTGTTACGTTTAGCTATTTGTATTCAACCCTTGACCAACTCTGCTGTTTCTCATTCTGACATGGTATCATCTGTTGGAAACAATAAGTCCTAAGTGCGCTTCTGTCGTATCAAAACCCAAGGCACCAAGCGAAGCAGTCCCAATCGAAGCATCGAGTCAACCTCGGAGGTTAGGGTAACCGCCTGGAGGTTACGAGAAAGTCAAAGGTCGCTGACCTTTGACTCGACAATTACAGCGCGACAGTTAAGGACACACAACTGACTCGTTACAGAGCAGTTGCCCGAGTCGCACTGTATTGAACCGCAACAGCAATACAGTTATCTACATATCTATTCGTATTCCCTGTACTCTTATATAAATCCTTGTATTTGCTTGTTTAATTCAATCAACTTTGCTCTCACACACCAGTGCAAGGTCGGTTCAAATTCTTCACTAAACGCTTCCGCTATTACAACTACTTCACCTAGAGTTATCCCTTGCAAAGATCCTAAGGGGCTGACAAGGGAAACTCTACTCCTTTTTAAAATCATTACAAGACATGGCAACAAACAAGGAAAGGAGCTCCCCTAATGGCTCCTCGGGCACTACTCCTACTCCACCGCCAGCCTCTGGCCTGCAGACAGAAGAAGGCACGGCAACAAGACCAAGAGGAACGTCAACCGAGACCCCCATGAACCACCCTTCGGACTTTGACCAGAACATGATGGAGAAATTTTTCTCCTTCATATCCTTCTACGAACAACACCAGCAGTCGGGACCTGCACAAACACACAACAGCAACAACGGAGCGACACCCATGAGTCTTGATGGGTCGTCATATGCGCGAGGAAACCAGCAGCAGCAACCTACCTTTGCTCCGTACGAGCGCGGGTCAATCAGCTTCGTGCCCCACCCGCAACCTTCACCTGGACAAGAAAGACCACTGGACGCACTTCAAGTTCAGTCGCAGTTTGCACACGTCTTAAAACTGCAAACGTCAAGACCCTTCGACGGCAAAGACTTCTTTACCTGGTCCTTTGAATTCGAGCTGATGATGGAGGGCGCGCAGATACTCGGCTTCTTCGACGGGTCCCTGCAGTATCCAGCCAACGGGACACAATATGAAAAGCAGCAGTATACGTATCAATCAATGATGGCGTATACAATCCTATTGAGGAACGTGACACCAACTCAGCAGCAGAACATTCGCTCTTACCGGACCTTCGGCAACTCGGCGGAGCTCGCGTACAGCCATCTGAAGAACCTGTATCAAGCAACAGACAGTGTAAACCAGAGCAGGTTAATGGCGCAGTTGACGACAGTCGAAATGAAACCAGGAGAAAAAGGACTAGCGTATATCAGCCGATGTCGCGAACTGCGCGACAAGCTGCTTCGATGCGGAGGGTCAATCTCTGAAGACGCCTTCGTGACAATCATCATTGGTGGGCTTGGTCCTCAGTGGCGCGCCACCAAAGCCATTCTTCGAGCCCACGGAAGAATCTCTGAAGCTGCACTCTGCGCCGAAATACATGCCGAGCAGCAAGATATGGACCTGCAGGAAGAACGACACAGGAAGAAAACGACAGTATCAGAGTTCGCATTCCACACTCAACGACGACACAGCAATTATAACAACCGACAGCAGCAACCGAAGATAGTACCTCCTTTCTGCCACATCTGCAAGACTTCAGGGCACCCGCGCACACACTGCCCGAATCGTCAGCAATCAACGGCACCACAGCGACAACTTCGACCTTCAAGCTCCCAAATGGCTTCAACACAAACAAGTGCGACGACCACTATTCAAGCTTCAACGACTTCACCCGGACAACCTGCACGAGGAGCAAGAAATATAATCAACTGCATGACGAAGATAACCGATTCGTGTACAACCGAATCACCACCACACTACTCACCGGAAGAAGAGCTTGACAACAGAACGCCTCGCCGTGAGCTACTCCAGCCGAATCCAACGTACGCCGCCATCGCTCAAAGTGAACCGTCCGGCCAAGACACCTGGTTCTTGGACAGTTGCTGCGGGCAACACATGTGCTCGTCCGAGCGTTTCGTACAACGCGAACATCGACTCCAACGGGAAGTAATCATCACGGTTGCCAACAACCAAAACCTGCGCACACGAAGACAAGGAGTGGTACAGCTTCAGTCAAGAGAAACAAACGTCATACTGCACATGTCTAAGGTACTCATCGCTGAAGGACTCGGCTACAACTTACTGAGCGTTAGCCAGTTGATGGCGAAAGGAATTCATCTGGAAGCCGACAGCACGACCCAGGAGTTCAAGCTTTACCACGGGAGAGGCGGTCTCTACATCGGAAAAGCAGTGCTGAAGAACAACGTCTTCGTCCTCGACTTCGTTCCTGACCTGGGCACTGCAGACAGCGACGCCATCGTGAATTTCACTGACTGGACACACCCTCCGGATCTCGACCCCGACTTCAGCCCGGGAGGCTTCTGGTACTCGCACACCATTTCTGAAGCAGAACGAACACGAGCATTAGCAACAATTCGACAATCGGCATCAGCAGCAACAACATCGGCAGCAGTAACAACATCGGCATCAGCAGCAACAACATCGGCAGCAGCAACAACATCAGCAGCAGCAGAAACAACGACACCAGTCACAGTCGACGAAGCACCACCAACACCCGCACAACAGCTGAATCCGACTCAACGTGAAGTCCACCGAAGCGCCAACCTCGTCGCCAGCTTTTACTCCAACTCCGACGCATATCAGCGTTCACCTGGACACCGCGCCTCTGAAGAGATCTGGCACGC